CATCGCCTTCCTTTTATAATAAACGAAAACATATTAAGATTTATATTAATTATTGTTAAAAAAAATGAAACAAATGAAATTGTTTTTTTTTGTTTATCAAATCATGTAATGCTATTATTTACTGTAACGATATTATTGGATATAATTTCACGTATTTTAATGTACTGTGGCTATTGTGTAAATATTGCTATTGTCCAAAAGTATACGAAATGGTGGAAAATAACTGAAAAGTTAAATAAAGTTAGGGTCCAGAGTTCAGGAGACTTTTGGGAAAACAAAAACAGTTATTTGGGAAAGTTTTACTTTTATGTTTAAAAATTTGTTGGCTCTTTTCGTTAAAATTAATACACATTATATGTGAACAACTGTCACTGTGAATATAACACTGCGTATGGAAATAAGAATAATGAAGCCTTCAGGTTTTTGAGTTTTTAACGATTTTCGTCACAGTTTGTCTTAAATTATCTAACAATCTTCAAATATAATATATATATATATATTAAACACTTAGAAGATAGATCGAATCACGCTGTTTAAATCGATTATGATATTATTGTTATCATCATATTATTCTAAATACATATATGAAAATCAAAGTACAATGATTTTTACCAGTAAACATCAATTGATTATTACATATATAATTATGCATTAAGACCTTAATCTAGGATTAAAATAAAATTTTTCAAAATATATTTTTATGAAAAATAAGAATAAATCAAATGTAAGTTCCCGGTAAGTATATAATTTTTATGTATTATTAATCTTTTTTTTAATTTCATACAATAAATATGTGAAAAAAAATTAAAAGCCTTATAATATAACAAGATGTATATTATTTCAATACATTTTTTTGAATTAAAATAATTTTGAATATAAATAACAAATATACAGTTGGTGACTGTAATTATTATTTACAGATAAATTATGCGACAAAGTTATGTTATTTTATTTATTAGTTAATGATTTGCTTATCAATAAAAGTAATTTCATACAATATTTTTAAAATAAAAATTAATAGACACATATGATGTATATTTTAACGATATTCAATTAAATTGTTAAAGTTTTAAGTAATTTAATATGCATTTTTAATATCATTAAAAATTTTAAGATCAACGATTATTTTTATTTAAGTATAACTCAAAATATATTGGCAATGTAATAAAAGAATATCTTATGTATATGTTTTGGTCCGAATAACCTTAAAAGTTAAAAATACTTTTTTGTGAATTTTGACGCAGATGGACTTTTAGACTTATAGAATAATGTTTGAAACTATCCCGGGAAAACTTTTAAGGAAATTTAAAAAAATAGAAATAAAATTAATTGTGATTACAACATCAATTCTAATAAAATAAATTGTATTTTAAGTAATAAATACTAATATTTTACTATACATATTGTGTTGGTTGTATACAAATCAGTATATGAGAATAGTTGTACGCAATTAAATATCTAGTATTAATATTCTGTAAGTGATTTTTAATCGGAAAAGAAATATTAAATGCACTTATTATAAATCAAAGCGTTATCTGAAGTATTGACCGTAATTTGTGTGTAATGTTATAAAAACATACATTTAAACAAATTAATAGACTAAAAGATGCGTGTTTGATATCAAGTCTCATTTTATGTAAAGTGTTATTATATTTCATTTTAATTAAAAAAAATACATTAATTTGAATTTATAATAAATTACGTGTTTGAAATCGATAATACTATGATGATTGTAACCGAGTATTTTATAATAATTAAGAACCACCAATATACAAGGCTCCCATTGAAATACATTGAAACTGTTGAATATATTCACGTATAATCGTGTTATAAGACGATATTTCTATACCCTGGTGATATTAACTATAATTAGTGTAAAAAAAAAAAAAACACAATCTGTAATAAAATAATTTTTATTTCATTAAGTTCAATAATTTGACGATTCAACTGTTTAAGTGAAGCCAAAGGCATTTCTAATCCTGCCATTAACATACGCCCACAATAATGGTTTCGTACTACCATTTTAATATTATTAATTTAAAAATAATATAATATTATAGCGTTTTAAAAAAAATAGCATACAAAAGAACTTTGTTATCGGTATGAATGAAATTAGTTTTGCGTATACACAATGTCGTGTTGGACAATATTTTAATTATCATGGCGTGAAGCCAACAAGACTATATATGTCTTAAGCATTATTTAATATTATTTTGACATACCCACTGACAATTTTTTATACGAGCACACCCTTTTAGCTGCCTGTAATTTTTAATCTTATTGAACCGTATAATCCGTTTAATTCCTCATATCTAAATGTTACGTGAACATATTTTTTATAAAATATATACACGTATATATTGAGTTACCAAGGACGTGTTTATTTGGCCACGGGGAACCGTTAAAAGGTGCTCGAACTAATTTCGAAAGACAATTATTATTTGTTTAATATGATTATGTGGCCAGCCAAAAATTAAATTACGTTCTGAATATTAATTTTTGGTATACATTTTGTATAAACGCGTGCGAGAATAACAACATAGAACGAAAAAAATCGACAATCATAAAAAAAAACACACATAAAATTCAGTCCTGGATTAAAAATGCATTATCTTTTACATAGCAAAATCAATTAATATTAATGGTTTCCTGCGATCCGGAGATTGCGTTACCGTACAATACACACGCACCTTCATCGTCTCTCTCGTCATTCATTCGCTCCTCGATGTATATGCGCCGAACTACTACGTGACCTGGTTTCTTGTTTCGATTTATCCATTCTCTAAATTATAATTGCATTGGAGATAAATATTTATTGCTAACCCTAAATGGACTGTTGTCGGCAAATCCATGTGTTCCTAACGCGCTAAATCGGCAATCTACTCCGATCATCATCACCATCACCGTTCGTTCCTTACCTATTAGCGGGAACAATAATTAATATAATTACGATTATGATAATATATGTATCCATGGAAAAATAATCTCGATTACACCGGAGTTTCGGGTCAAATGTAAACGGAAACGGTTATATGTTTTAACGTCTTTCCCACCTGTGGTGGGGTTAGAACGACAAAAGTTCGTTAATTGTATGGTGGTACATGCTATCACCGCATGCACGTGACACGTACATACATAGTCATATACGAGACAGTAAATTGATTTCAATTCTTGGGCTATTAAACCGCAATCAGAAAGTTTCGAACGGTAAAAACTTATACGACTGTTCCTTTTTTGCATTCATTAACTGCAATTCATGAAATAAAAAAATAGGAACATGCTTTCACTTGAAAACATTGCATTTTTTATTTGTTCTAGTAACTGCTCTAAACTCATAGTTGTTTATCGCTTCCAAATAAAATTACTGAATTTTATAATACTGATTTGTTAACCGGTAGTCATAATAGTCATAATTGTCAATAAGTTTCTTCCTGGTAAATATCAATGAAAAAAAAATTTGATAAATTGTAATTTATATAATATTGCATTAAAATTTGTTTTGTGCTTTAAATTTATACTTGTTATGCTATTGCTATAATTGGAATTGTTTTCACAAGTATTATACTTAAGTCGGATTGGAAAGTTGATTATTTTTCAATATTAATGTTATAAGTCTTATAGTATACGAGAACTTTTTTAATTTTTTTTTAATTGTAAAGAAGCTTTTAAATAAAAAAAATGTATAAGCTTTTAATGTGCATTAGTATTGAGTTATGAAATAAAATACATTAAAAATAAAGTTTAAACTTGTAAAATTGTTATTTAAATTATAATTTATTTAGGAATTAGAGTTTTTTATTAAAAATTATTGATTTAGTTTAAACTTTTTGAAATAGTATTATAAATGTAAATAAATATTTTTAACTTGTTGATATTAACCATAAACTATCATGTATTACAATACCCATAATGATATGACTAAGTAATTTGTAATAAAATGGTTGGCTTAACATTTATTTATATAAGATTTTATTTCGATTGTTTCCTAGAATTATTTTTTCAATATTTATGTATAGTAGTAATGATAGTATTTTTTCAATTTAATTTAATTATAATGTGTGCATAAAGCATAGATTAAAAATAATGTTATAATAAAGGTATTTTTATAGAAGTAATATATTTTAATAAAGAAATTACGCCGTTGATAACTTTATGAAAAAATGTTTATAGTTACACTATAATATTACATTGAAAATAATTTATAATACCAAACAAAGAAAGTTGGTATTTATAAATATAATAATAATAATTTTTTCCAAAATGTTGAACTATATTATGATAATTTACAGTGAAATATTTTTATGGAACAGGCATTAATGGGAATAAAAATGTTTTTATTAAGTAAAGAAGATGATTAATATCGAAATATTTAAATTTAAATATGTGGTGCTTAGATATTTTATATTTATATATATATTAATTCAAATCTTAATAAAATGTATGTCTTAATATAAATTGTAAATAATTTTTTTACAAAAAAAACAATACAATTTAAGTTCTAGAAGAAAAATGAAAAACTATGAACTCTATATTTTTGGAGATAATATATTTATATATACTTAAATTTTATTGATTGATTTTTTGTAAAAAAATTATTTTCGATTCTTATTATGACGTTTTGACAAATATTTAATATCATTTTTCATATTTTTTTATACTTATATGGTACGTGTTCTAATAATACGTGTATATCAGATGAATAAGTTTTCAAATAAGTAGAAAAATTACATTTGACGATAAAATTTTCAATAACGTTTATAGTAAAATATTTTTCTCAATAATCAAAACAATATTATTGTCATCGCAGTGAACAATAAAATGACAGATATTTTAATATTTATACTTAGAAAAAATGTTAAGGAAGTACTTTATATTATTATTATAATTACTTTATAGATGCTTTTACATTGTTATAACCTAATATAAAACTAATTATCCATAACAGAAAATTTATATAACATGTATGTGAATATGTGTAAATAAACATATTCAAAATTTACCTCAATAATTGGAGTTGGAGGAGGTCCTATATCCTGATTTATTTCTTCGGGTTTTTTCTCCTTGAGTGCTTTCACGATTTTCCATTTACTGACACCCTCTTCTTTATCAACTAAATCATTTTTATCAAATTTAAACCTGGGCAAGGATGGTGTTCCGGGACTTTCGTCCTCTTCAACGACTATTTGTTCGTCAACCGTTTCCGGTTCCGGTTCCGGTTCCAGGTCAAGATTTTGACTTGGAATATCTTTTTTGCCACCGGGAGTATCCGGCACTTTCATTTTTTTAAACCTTATAAGTCCGTCATCTTGTGGTAGTTCCTCTTCAATGACTGTATCTAATGGTTCTGATTCAAAAGCGTCTTCAATGAACGATTCGTCCATGGATTGTTTTCTTATATCCTCATTGGTCTTATACATTTTTTCTTTAAAATCGACCTTAGATCCAAGTATAGATGACTCACTTCGAGTAGTAGGTGGAGGTAACATTGGGGGTCCAAATACTCGTTCAAAATGGGTTTTCTTTTCTAATTCTTCTAGTTGTTTTAGCTCATAACAATACCATTCATCATCACTATCAATACTTTCTTCAGTACTCTGTCTTCTTGATGATATTCTAGACGTACTTCTCCATGAATGATTACTCCTACTGTCGTCTTCAGTATCAGCTGACCCTTTGCCTGCCCAGGGTACTTCTAAACTTGCTTGTCTAGATGACATTTTAAGATTTCTCATATTTGGTGGCTGTACAAACTCTTCATTAGATTTAACAGGCTGTTCTTCCAATGATTTGTTACGTTTTTCTACGGTTGATAAAGGTTCGCCTTCTGGTACTCCGTTTGAAAGTTTACAGTGTTCTCTGTATTTACTCAACTTTCGAGATACAGCAAATTCTTTAGTTGGGCCATTAAACATTTCAGCTGGCAACTGGATTTCATTAACCTGTTCCTGCAATTCTTCTGATTGTTGTTGCTGCTGTTGTTGATGCTGTATGATTTGCTGATTTTGTAACACTTGTTGTTGCTTCTGTAATACCTCCTGATGAAGTTGCTGCTGCTGTTGTTGTTGTTGCAGTTGTTGTTGCTGCTGTTGCTGTTGTTGTTGTTGGTGTTGTTGTTGCAACATCTGTTGCTGAATTTGTTGTTGAATATGTTGTTGCATCTGCTGTTGCCGCTGAATTTGTTGTTGGACTAGCTGTTGCTGCTGAAGTTGCTGTTGGTGGATCTGTTGATGCTGGAACTGGTGTTGCTGATGGTGTACCACAGTTCCACTTGCTGCTGGCTCTAAAGAACTCAAGGGTGTTTCTGGTGGTATTGTTCTATCTCCAGCTTTAAACTGAGTCCATTCACTTTCCGCAAACTCTGGATCAGATATCGAATAGGAACTTTGAAATCGATTTGATTTGGTGGTTTTATGTAATAATCCGGACATGGTAGACACAATTGATTTTTTTTTCTTACGACTACCATGCTTCTGAGTGTTCCAGCCACGTGGTTTTGATACTGTTGCTGTCTCACTGTGAACAGAATCCTCATCGGGTTCTCTTTCTAAGCCTCCAGGCAATGAATGAGATCGATGTCGTTGTGGTAAGTGCACATCGGGAAACCAATTGCTCATCGAATTACTAACTGAACTCATTGCTGATTTGATAATATTACGTTTAGATTTTTTCGCCTTTTCTTCTCGTCTTGTTCCGTCATCTTCACAACGGATCTGAAAGTTAGGTGTCGTGACATATCTATACCGTGTTTGGTTACTATCTGTTCTATCGTTTTCTCTACCATAATACGTATCGTTTTTGGTACTTGGGTAATAAGACAATGCATCGGTTATACCAGGGTATGGTCTATCCGTTGGAGTTTTGTATTCTTTATACGACATTACGTCCAACAGGTCTGGTACATTTGAAATGGACGGTTGTTGTGCGTTAGTTGTTTGATATTTATATCCTTGACCTGCGGTCGAGTATACTCCACTAGACCTATCATAATATGGGTACTCCGTTTCGAATGTAGTAGTTACACACGTTACTACCGTTAATCCGGATGGTCCAGCAACCGCAGATATTTGATAAGATTGATCGAATGCCCGTTTGCCTGGTGAACATGGAGATTTTTCGAAACTAGATAACAATCCACCGCTCATCGATGATAGACCAGAATCGGATTTGTTGGCCACAACCATAGCACCTGTTCGGTGTTGGTGTAATGTATCCAATTCTTTGGCGGAATTGTGAAACTGTTGCTGGGTATCCAAATTTTTAGAGGAATTGTGAAATTGATGAATTGAATTCAGTTCTTTGGTAGAATCATGAAATTGACGGAGGCTCAATGACAAAGCGGACGATAATGATCTAGAGAATACTGGATCCTCAGGCGCTGGAGGTGGCGGACTACCTGGAGGAGATTGAGGGTGATACGAGTGATCCAAGTAATTAGACTGCGACGGTGTGTCTATAAATAATGTCGGTGACCTGAATCCAGGTTCTTCACATTTCGGAATTGTGGGAAGCGATCGAATAGATGTGGACGTATACGGATATATGTGATGTTGTAGGTTTCCCACTGATGACGTGCTCGTATGTGGTTTATTAAGCGGATAAAAATCGAGAGCAGCCGCTGCTCTTTCCGTCTCGTCGTTCCAACTATCCAACTGCGCCTCAGCGTACAGCTGCCGCATATTTCTTTCCATTTGTTCGATATTTTCGAATATCTCCTTGGCCGATTCCACAGAATCCATTTTGTCCGGATCGTCATCTAATAACCGATCTTCGTACGCTCTGTAATCTCCATCATTCGGTTCTGGAGGTTTTTTGGTACCATTACTATTGCTTCCTTCCGATTCTTCCCATATCATACTTAAAGCGGGGCGATTTCCGACTTCTAATGGTCCCATATATGTAGTTGAAGTTGACGGTTCCGAGCATATTTCAATCATTTGCCCGATAACGGATTGTTGGTTCTCAACAATCGTCTCTAGTTTTTCGATACGCTCCCACATTTTCACGTATTCGTCAGATAACAAGTCCAATGCTCGCCATGCGTACATCACTTCATTCTCTAGCACATTTATGCGGGGTGTAATTTTATCGATGAACTCATTGAGCGCAGCCTCTACAGCCTGTTGGTCGCCGTAGACTGTAGCGGTAGTGGTAGTGGTGACGTTGGCGGTGTCATTGGCGTTGGCGACTGTGGTTATAGTGGTGGTGGTGCCACCACCGTTCCGATCTTGTTCTGGCTCCATTATAGCGAAAATGCTAAAGCCAGTGCATTTTATCGGTCAGTAGAAGGTAACAATTTGTTTGATATTTGGCTGACGCCGCAAATATCTCGAAAAATAATCTTATTTAATACTGAAAAAAAAGAAAAAACGAAAAGAAACACACATTAATAATCATATTGAATACGCATCACATAATAAAAACGTTCTTTACACGTGTTAAAATAAATTCGTGGTAGTTAGACACTGTAAAACGTTATTTGACGTAGAACTTGTTGTTTTTATGTCTATTTAAGTGACGTAACTTTTTTTTTACGTGACATCTACCCGACGTTAGTTACGTTGAGAAGAGTATAGCTTTTTTAAAGTTAATCTTTTAGAAAAGCTTGTGCAGAATAAATATTTAGACGTGAATTAAGAACATCTACAACCTACCACACTTCCCAGTCACCAAAAAATGACTTGGTTTCATAAATAATCGAGCGTAGCGGCATTTCGAGAGACGATAATGATAAATTACTGTCATAAGCTATCTCGATTCCCCAGGCTTGGGTTTTTTCTTTCCACCCTCTTACTGCTGCCGTCATATTATACACGGTCATAACCACTAGATATATTGGCCAATGCGGTAAATCCAGTAAGACGGTCGATTTAACTCAAATAACGAGAATTTATACATTTCTCTCGCCGGCAAATAAAACGTGATGAAAACTATCTATCATAAACAAATCATTCATATGATACGAATGACACTATGATACACTTACGGACGAAAATTTATTTTAACATCGTACGGTAGCGTAAAGAACGATTTATTAGTGAATTTATTAGTCAAATATTCTTTAACATTGACTTACCTTTAACTCGAAGTATCATCGTTTTGGTATCTGATGTCATCAACGGTCGTCGGTACGGCGAAATATATAAAGTACCGAACGAGTGGCTGATGCTATCGTTTAAGATTCGAATAACTTTAAAACACACGTCGTAGTACAATGCAAACGTCAGGCTTTCGTTGAGGGTGCGAAAACAAAAAGAGTCCCGGAACAAAATACGTTGAGGAGTTTGACATGCATTTCACGTACTTTACAATAATGCATGGCGAAAATCGATGCTGTATGCAACAAGGGAGGTGGTATTTATATTTTTACAATAGCTTGCATTGACAGGAAAATCGATCCCGTCCACGGGGCGTTGTTGGTTGGAAATATATTATTTATTTCCCAGGAAACGTCGCCTCCATGTTAGCACAAATATTCAGTGATAACCACTCAGACGCAGACACACTCCAACAGCGTGTCACCATTCAAGAGTGCCGCATATTAAACGTAGTTCTTGACGGTCCAGAAATCTAATTAACTCTTTCGAAACACCGCACGATTGCGGTTGGATTGAACACCGTTCGTCGTTTCCCCCAAACCATTACATAACGGACTATGCCCACGTACCGCGGTGATAATTACGCCACGGCATAACGATAAAAAAAATAAAAATATTAATAAACAATACACACGACGACGAACAACGGAGGTAACTTAATATATATATATATATATATATATGTATACACTTGGGTTTTCTATACTATAACATTATTATATTAAATAAAAATATACGTGTATATATTTTTTCTTTAAGATCAAATTGTATTCGAAAATAATGTAATAACGAAAAAATAAAAATAATCAAACGAACGAAAAAACAAAACGATGCACGTTGTTTATTAACCCACTGTACGCGTGTAGATGGTATGGGCAATATATAATATCACGTGTACACCACCATACATAAGAAATACGTAATGTGCGCGGTGGAGGCTGCGGGGTCGGTCCTCAATGAGCGGTGATCGGCGGCTCGGCGAACACACACACTCGGCGGAGTTATAGTTCGCGTTTCGGGCGGCGGCGGCGGCGGCGGCGGCGGCAGCGGCGGCAAGCGGGCGAGCTAGCGCGCACACACTTCCGCTGGCGATCCAGCACTGGTGGCGCACACGGCGTAGTCGGCGCATATAATCGGGAGCGGCAGCCGCGGTTTTTCCCGGTTTCGCGCGAGCAAAGCGCGCCCCGGCGGCCGTGGTAGCGTTCGCGCGGCGAGGGGCGCGCGCGGCTCGAACACCCTCCGGCCGACTCGTGTGTGCCCCCGCGACCAACCGCTCCGGCGTGCGAACGGCCGCGGTGGTGGAGTGGACGGCGCGCGCCCTCAACGCCGGGCTTACTACCGACGGCGGCGAGGGGTAGCTCACCGTTGCGTCTGCGGGGACGTGCCCTGCGCACCCCTCGCCACCGCTATTGATTTGTCCAAAGACCTTCCGCGTGTTTGTCGACCGGCACGCCGACGGTTCAAGACCGTAGTCGTCGTCGCTCAACGATTTTCTTATAAAAAAAAAAGAAAAAGGGAACTTAAAAATAAAAATAAAATAATGAATAAATAAAATAAATAAAAGGCAAGGAAAATTACAGGAATAGAAAATAGACGTATACACCGAGACTACCATCACCCCGGTACGTGTGTGTTTTGAATTTTGTGCGAACGCGGCAACGGGCGGTAGCCTCGGTGGCAGCGGTAGCGCGGTGCCGTGTAAATGACGAACGGCTATAACGAATTTCCCGTAATCGAATTATCACGTTTAAACGATTTTCAAAAATTATAACTTAAAATAAAAATAAAAGAAACCGACGGACACGGATTCCGCCGTGGTATGTAACTAATGGCAAAAGTTGGCGTTTTTATTTTATTTTACGTCATTTCTTGGCTTTTTTAAACCAATAAAATATCATTTCGTTTTTTTTCAGTGTTTTCAGACGAACGTTAAAAAAATATACAATAATAATGTTCGTATGTATAGTCGTTCCCCGTTTAATGACGACAAATTTTATTACCGATTAATTTCCGACGACGTATAAAAAAACTTCGATCCTTGCACGCGACGAATCCGCTCTAACACAATTGTATCCATCCTGTGATACGGTTAGTTTAAGGAAATCCATTTAAATGACTCCCCCATCCCCGAGAATATCATCAAAAGACAAACTTTCGATATAATAAATATCGAATAGTTTTTTCACCCTTGTAGGCATATCGATTTAGGTCCAAATCCTGTTCCGAAAACCCTTGTTGATAACGATTACTTGGCTTTAACTTAAGATTGTAAATACTATACACGTTTGATCGCGGGTGTATATATTGTGTAGCGGAATTTCAACAAGTTGGCACGAATATTACTTGTTTAATGATCCAACCCTTAAAGGATCACGTTTATATTTTGTATGTAAGGCGTATGCATTTCTCATGTTTGAAACCAACGAGCAATTGAATAAAAAAAAAAAAAAAATAAATAAATAAATAAACTACTCTCTATGACATATTAGCGTGTTATACAGATACGCAGATACGTACAATGTATACATACGGCCTTATGTGTATGGATTTAGGACGACAGTGCCACTATAAAGTTTCCGAAATAAATTATGGAAACATTTCCATTCATATTTTGAATCAATTTTTTTATTTATTTTTATTTTTTTACTTTGAGTTCCAACTCGTACATCGATAAAGCTGGGAATAACTAGTTGTAAAGTTGCAAACGAAAAATGGAGTACAATTCATTGCGGTCGGAAAAAAAATGTAGACACATATTCACTGTGCATATATACGTGTACAATAGACATTAAATATACACACAAACATTATACATATATGTATCATGTATACATGATATACAGTTCTACATTTTATTTTCATTGAATTTTGTACTACTCTAGAATATGTATCGAGGAAATGAATTTTTATGGAAATTGCTCTGGTTTTTTTTTTCGTGTATGTAAAGCTTATATGTTAAAGTGGTTAGTGTTTTGCCGGTAGGTGGATCAACTAAAATATTATACAAAATCGTTCTTATAAATACCGATTTAAAGAATATTATATAATTAAAAACTCGTCGATTAATGTAGGACGTATAATTGTATACATTATTACAATACCATTTTGTAAATGTGGAAAAAATAATGAAATATTTTAATAATTTGTAAGTAATATTGGGTTTCAAACTTTTATGTCAATATTATTCAGCGGGTTTTTTTTAAGTAAATTTAAAATAGGTATACATTTTCGGATATAATTTAATAAATTATATTTTTTTTCTAAGCTTTCATACAGAAGCGTGTTTTCAATGACATTTCAAAGGGATTATATGTAAATCAAGCAAATTGGGTTTTATAACTACATCAAACCAAATAGTAAACCATTAAGCAAATTGTACGCTGACGAGCAAAGGATTAAGAATAAACCTCCATAGTTAAACAAACCGGTCATCACGATAAGATATTTACAGCTTTACAGCGTTTTAGAATTTATAAATATGTATAATGTTCACATAAATAATATTGTGAGCGATAATTTCTTAAAGTTTACACACCATCAAATTGTATTGCATAAACGTTTATTATTGTTTAAACATTATACATGTTTTCTTTATCATTTTGTTTACATAGTTTAATAATTCAAACAGTTATGATCATTGTTATTGATGGTAAATTTATAACATAATATGCATCGTTTTATCATCATTGAACTGTTGAAAAAATAACTTTCAAATTATAGCGCGATAATTTATTGTTCTCCAAATAATAACGCGATACAAAAATAAAATAATAAACTACTAAAAAATGTAATTTTATATTTATTTTTATTTTGAATAAATGGATTTTTAATGGAGTTAATCCTGGACATTGTATTTATGATATGTAATGAGTATCATATATAGTTTTATTTCTACTTAAAAAAAAGTAGCTAGCTTTTAAATCTAATTTAGAATAAACACTCTAAAAAAAAAATATAATTTACAAATTTTGTAAATCAGTCATTGTTGTTTTTTTCTTTTATATTAAAACGAAATGTATCACATGTTTATGTGAAAATTAATAATTTAATAACATATCCATATAAACAAAATTAAAATTGTTAAAAAATCGCAATTTCACAATAATCGCTGAGTTTAAAAAATAAATGAAAGCTCGGTAAAAATAATACGGATTACTAAACCATTGGTTATAATTTTCTATTCATTATTTACTATTCATTTATTTATTTTTTTTTATTATTTATTGTACTATGACTTCAATTATATTCATGGCGTATTAAAATTTAAATGTTATTGTAATATCTGTCGTCGGCTAAATTAAAAATCGTATTTATTAAAATCATATTTTTACACGATTTTAATATGTTATAAAAACTTAAGTATCTAGTAAATAAAAACATACAACCCTTAGATTATCTAATTGTTTAATTATATATGAAAGAGTAAATATATTTTTTTATAATTTAATAGACTAAATTATATTAGGATGGCGAAAAAAGAAAATAAATAGTAATGGCTAGGAAAAGAAAATTACTTATCGTTATTCACCACTCTTTCACTCCTGAAAATTGTGGGGTATAAACTAGCCATTGCTTATTTAGAAATGAGCGTACTTGCGTGTAGCCGGTTACAAGTAATTTCCCCTTATTTTTTTCATTTTTTTACCATAGGCATTTATTTTTTTTATCCGATGTCTAAATATTATTCTTATTCAATGGTAATTAATATACCAATATATATATATATATATATATATATATATATCTTGGTAGAAATTGTGAGGATTTTTTTAATTAACAACGAAAATTATAACATAGTTGTATTCAATGTTTTTTTTTAGAATACTTCTCAAACAGCCAAGAATGAAACTTTCAATTATAATTTTGGACGAAAAAAATGGCACTATATATACATTATTGTTCCTACAACGCACATCCTATTGTTCATCCTTGGTAAGGAGGAACCACATTTTTAAACCTATTCTAGAACTGCATACTCCGCTGACTTAAGTTTGAGCTACTAACCACAACTTACATTCCTCCGTTTTCCCTACTGGTAGTTCCTTCAAAGAACGCCTTAATTAACTAATACTTTGACGAGTTTGTTTGTTTTTCATGTAAACCGCATTACAGAAATACCAGTTTGACAGATTAACTATTTTACCCTACGATAAAGAAAATAATACATTTTAGCTAAAGCGTTTTCGGATACCTGTCATACCAACAGCAATGAGGCTTGGTCACAGATATATATCATAATAGACAAAAGTAGAATATAATCATGGGTTGAATATGTCGTGCATTGTTTTTAAATTGATTATGAATATATTTTGTAAGTATTATAATATATTAATACATATATCTCATAGAAGAACTTAAATGGGCTTTGCATTATTGTAATATTCGAAAAATCCATTTAATGGTAACAAATCATTTTTTTTTAGAACATAAATAATATTAGACTTAAAATTAGATAGTATTTGTTATTAATTTAGTTATTAAAGTCACGTTGAGCAACATATTAATACTTTGTGTTAATTTATTTCAATACTAAAATACTAAAATATTAACTAATAACTTCAATATATACATAGTTTTTTTACATTTTTTTTTTAATGACCAATAAGATATAAACAACATTTTTCAAAAATAATCATTTATTTTTGCAGTAAACTTGTCGTTAATGGAATAATTTATTAAAGGTTTTATACTTTTTTTATAAACTATG